AGTACAGCTGACAGTGGTGCAGCAACAGCTGACGGTGGTGCAGCAGCAGCTGACCGTGGTATGATAGTATTTCGATAGTATTTCTCACCCTTTTTACCACAGGGTTGGCACTAGAAGCTTTCTTTGGGCCCATGGTGGCTTATTTAGCAGTTACAAGCACTATAAACAATGGAATAATACAAAATGTATCGAATGTATGCATGAAACCAGCCACCCTGGCTTGTAAACAATGATGGCAGGGCAGCCTAGGTGCTCAGGCTGGACAGACAGGTTTGGGATGAATCACGTTGGGCGAGTTTTTTATCGTTAGGTGGGCCAAAATTTTTACGCTCAAACACTTTGTTAGGCGGATTTAATGTTATGTGATGCGTTCATTAGCTGAGGGTCCACTGTGTAGCCTTTCTAACTCAGACATACACACTCCACTTTCATATTTTTCAATGATCTCTTTCTTCATTTCCATTGTAATTCTCACCCTTTTTACCACAGACTTGGCACTAGAAGCTTTCTTGGGGCCCATAGTGGCTTATTTAGCAGTTACAAGCACTAAAAACACTGGAATAATACAAAATATATCGCAGGTGCACATGGAATCGACTGCAATGGCTTGTAAACATTGGCTCACTGAGTCTTGGAGTGGCTGGGCCCACTCAGGTCATGCTCTGGCCACCCTGTGGCCCACTTTGAACACTTTTGCAACGAACGCTGTTAGATGAGTTTTTTTGCCATTGGTGGAGCCATTTTTTACAAAAAAAGAGCACCATTAGATGAAATTTGGCATTACTTGATGTGCCGTTGGTCGGGCGTCCACTGTACAGTAGACCGTCATTTAGAACGAGTTTGTTTGGTATGATTTGGGTATAACATGATTGAAGAATTGTGGCACAATTTTATGTAACACGTAAAATTAATTTAACACAGTTCAGCTTGCAGAATGGAAAAAAAATTCCCTTTTCTTCAAGTGGCCACCTAGTTGTGGATCAGCGGGGGAGACCTCCCGCCATCCCCTGCCACGCCTACAGCACCACCCCATCATCCCAGCATTCGTACTTCATACGCGTCCAGTCTTTCTTCTCTGCTACAAGTTAGCTGTGTTTGTGAATTGTGTTTTGATCTTTTAATTACTATATCTTGAATCTGCCAAGCAATCATGACACCCAGTAGACTTACTAGTGCTGCTGAAAGTGGCAAGAAAAGGTATAAGCATTTAACCCTTTCAGGGTCCCCAGGCCCTCTCCCAGACCTGTTCTCAGGGTCACCCAAATTTCAGAAAAAAAAAAATTATTTTTTCTTATGAAAAGATAGACAATCTTTTCCCGATCATAATGACACCAAAAGTATGAAATTTGATGGAAAACTTATGGAATTATACTCTCGCGAAGTTAGCGGCCTCGACGATGTTTACGCATTGGCGATTTTGCCCACTTTGAGCCCTTTTTTCGGCCAATTCCAGTGTATTAGCCGACAAAAATCATAACTAGTATTTTGCTAGAACGCCATTTTTTTTCTATCGAATGAGTACAAGAAACCACCCATTTACCAATTTCAACTATCCAATACAGTGGTCAGAATTTAGCATTTGTGCCAATTTCACACAAATTTCAAAAGATGCCAATTTCCAAATAGGGTCCAGAATAAACAAGAAAGACATTCCTGGCACTAAAATAACATTTCCTCTGTTCATTAGTCACGTCCCCACACCCCTCTTACATTCTTTTGCTTTCCACTTTTAATTTTTATTCTCACAAAAAATAGAAGATTTACTGTTATGCAGACTATTGCATTAGTGTAGAAATGGTATAAATAATATCAGCGCACTTGTGAAAGAATATTAGGCTCACCAGTTGACGTGTATTGGACGCTTAGCATTATTTGTTTACTTTTTTAACGTAGGTAAAAATCGAACATTTCTGCTATGTTGAGCTCAATTTCAAGGTACTTTTCATTGTAAAACCAGTTAAAATCATCTCAGTTTCTATAATATGTTTTCCATTTATAAAATGAGACCAGGAAAACTAGAATACAACAATAAATACCATACGAAAATACAGTGCAAAGTCGCTGTTTTAATCCAAAAACACGGTCAAAGTTTTTTTTTTCTCATTATGCACTGTGTGCTGCAGGATTTTTTTTTATACTGTGCACACTGATTACATAGACCCATTCTTTCATATGTAGGCCTACCAGCTTTCTCTCACTAGATTTGAGGGCGCTAGAATTTAGACATACTAGTACGTCAAAAACCCTGGTGTGTAAGCCGTACTAGTACAGCGGACCCCCACCTTACAGTGGCATCGCGTTACGTTAAATCCGCCACACGATACATTTTAACGAAAAAATTTTGCCTCGCCTCACGCTAAAAAACTCGCCTTATGTGATTCGTCCGGAATGCATCCCACGTGTGGCCTCAGCACCAGTGTTTACAAGCCAGCCAGTGCGGGCACATCCACGTATACATTCGGTACATTTCACCCAGTGTTTTTTGTGCTTGTAACTGCAAAATAAATTACCATGGGCCCCAAGAAAGCTTCTAGTGCCAACCCTGTGGTAAAAAGGGTGAGAATTAGTATGGAAATTAAGAAAGATTTTGAAGGGTTTGGGGCTAATTCTGAGAAGGCTATGCCAGTTGTGGAATCTATTGTGCCTACTTCAAAGATTAAGGAAATGTGTGCAAAGTGAGTTGAAGTGCAAACCTTTATGGATGAAAATCACCCTAACACAGCTATTGCAAGCAGTGTTGGTGACTATTACAGTGACAATGTTGTGGCCCATTTTAGGCAAATCTTAAAGGAACAGGAGGTACAGAGCTCTATGGACAGATTTGTTGTGTGACAGGTTCAGTGACTCTCAAGCTGGTCCTAGTGGCATTAAGAGAAGAAGGGAAGTAACCCTGGAAAAGGACTTGCTACCTCAAGTCCTAATGGAAGGGGATTCCCCTTCTAAACAATAACAACTTCCACACACTCCCCTCCTCCCATCCCATCAATCATCACCAGATCTTCAATAAGGTAAGTGTCATGTATTCTATTCTTAGTAGAGTAGTAATTGTGCATGTCTTCTTCAGTTTGTGTGTATTAAAATTAATATTTCATGTGGTAAAATTTTTTTTTTTTCATCTTTGGGGTGTCTTGCATGGATTAATTTGATTTCCATTAATTCTTATGGGGAAAATTAATTCGCCTTACGATAATTTCAGCTTACGATGAGCTCTCAGGAACGGATTAATATTGTAAGGCGGGGTCCACTCTACATCCAAAACCCTGAAAGGGTTAAGTCTTAGAATTAACGAAGAAAACAAAGATATTAGACGAGAGATAACCTGTGGCGTAATGAAGTGTTACTTTGTACACATAAAAAGAGGTAAACATAAGTTTGTGTGCCTGACTGACTGACTGAGACTGACTGAATTACTTACTGACTTGAATTCATTTTCCAGGAGGTATTTCTTCACACTAAGGCCAAACACTTCATTGAACCAGTCAAGGAAAATTTCCCTCATGACCCATGCCTTACTGTTTGCCTTCCACATCACACACAGTTTAGTCTTGGCGACACTGTTTTTCTTGAACACACTGGGATTTTCAGAATGATACACCAGTAAAGGCTTCACTTTGAAATCCCCACTAGCATTACTACAGAACGTGAGAGTTAGCCCGTCTTTCATAGGCTTGTGTCCTGGTAGTGCCTTTTCCTCCTGCATGATGTAGATCCTCTGGCATTTTCTTCCAAAAGAGGCCTATTCCGTTACAGTTGAACACTTGTTGGGGTTGGAATTGTTCAGCCTCTGTGTACCCCTTGAATTCCTGAACATATTTTTCAACCGCATATTTGTCAGAACTTGCAGCCTCGCCATGCCTTACTACACTGTGTATGCCATTACGCTTCTTAAATCTCTCAAACCAGCCTTTGCTGGCCTTAAATTCACTGACATCAGCACTAGTTCCAGGCATTTTCTTGGAGATCATCATGCAACTGCCTTGCCTTTTCACAAATTATCAACTGCATAACACTATCTCCTGCTAACTGTTTTTGGTTGATCCATACCAACAACAAAGTCTCCACATCTTCGAGTATTTGCGATCTCTGTTTTGTGAACATATTTGCACATTTTGCAACAACAATTTCCTTGATTTCCTTTTTCTTGGCCACGATGGAAGTGATGGTTGTATGGGGTTTCTTATACAACCTGTCAAGCTGTGCCACATGTATTCCACTTTCATATTTTGCAATGATGTCTTTCTTGAATTCTATAGTATTTCTCACCTTTTTTACTAAAGGGCTGGCACTAGAAGCTTTCTTTGGGCCCATGGTGGCTTATTTAGCAGTTGCAAGCACAAAAAGAATGGAATATTACGAAATGTATCTTATGGCTGCGAGGGGTGACTGTCACTCGCTGATACACAATGGCAGACTGACTGTGAATGGTGTGGGGGGCCACTTGTACTCGTTTGGGATGAACAACTATTACCGAGGTAAATGACGATCACCAAGCCAATATTTTGAGGAAACAAACATTACGATTACCAAATATTACAAAATTTGATGACTACGATGGCTGGGGGTCCACTGTATAGAGTAATTTTCATCGACTGGATATTTAGCTAGTGTAGTGAAAAAAGTAGTAGTTTAACTTGTTACCAAGTGTGACATGAAAGCAGCATGAATGGTTGGGTGTCACTTTATATATTTTTAACTCTTACACCACTTTTTCTTCCTTTTCTGGTGGGTGTTTGCTAACTTTCTTTAAAGTAAAGACACAAGATAGTAATGAGGGGGAAAAAAAGACATAAGGTAGTGATGAGAGAAAATAAAAAAGGCATGTCAAAAAAAAAAAAATTATGAAACTTTGAGTAGCTACCTTGAAAGACACAGTACCTGAATATAGAAGTGTCCAAATAATTAATGAGTGGATGAGTAAATGATATAACTGATAAAATACAGTTTTTCTGTAATATCTCAGTATGTTATTTATTATGAAGATAAATTTCTTATGGTGGCAGAGTTCGAAAGATTCTCAACACCCGATTATTTGAAGATGGAAATGGCAAGCGGTGGCAACTGAGCGTTAAGGATGCTGGTCTGGAGGTCCTCACAGTTTCCCAGGTAAGCCAGGTAAATCATCTGTAGGAAGGTACTTTCTGGTGAAAATTTTTCTTTCAATAATATATGTCATTATTACTGAACTTTTAATTAAAAGATAATACAGTTTATACTACTACTGTATTTAAAAAGAAATATTATTTACTAGGAACATTGTGAAATATTCTATTTAGTTCTAGAAAATAGCTTGATTGGTTATGGGAAGAAATTACACATTATGTTTAAAGTAATGTTGCACAAATTTATGATTTCAGTTCACTTTATACTGCGATTTGAAGGGGAATAAACCAGACTATCGTCATGCTATGGGCGGTGAAGCAGCACAAGCATTTTATGAAGACTTCTTTACTCAGTTGTGCAGGCAGTACACCAGTGATAAGGTTAAAGGTAACATTTTTTGTTATCTTGGGCTCTTAGTAGTAACATTGGCATAGTAGGTTAGAAATTTTGTATGCACCAATAGCATTGATGAAGAAAAGACATTATTTACCTTTTCATACAGGACTTGGGTTGCAAAAAGCCTTGATTAGCTGGAGTGATTAATTGAAAGGTTCTTTAGCCACATTAACCATTTCACTGTCCAGACCCTTGAAATTAGTATTGCTTGGTGGTAGAGAATTGTTTTCTGAAGGTAATGACAAGTCCAAAGTTCGAGGTCTGGGCACAATTTATGCATCAGCGATTTTGCCTATTTTAAGTCCTGTTTTAACCCAGTTTCATTGCTCTGTATATCCAAGTTCTTACCTATTTCACTAGTCTGCCTGCCTTCCATTCTATCAATTGAGTACAGTAGGACCCCACTTACACGGCGGGTTAGGTTCCAGGCTGTCGCTGGAAAGCAGACATCGCCGGAAGGCAGAACGCCTTTTTCTTCTATTTATAAATGCATATAAATGCCAGACAACAAGTTTACACTAAATTATATTAAGTTAGCAATAGAACTAGGCATTAAAAACACACAAAGTAAAATACATTTACAGTAAATTCATTACTTATCTTAAAGTATTTGTAATCTTAATGTAGGGAGAGAGGTGAGTAGTACGTACTTATTTGTAGGAAGTCAGGTGCAGGTAGCCCAGGTGTAGGTAGCCCTGGTTCCCCATCTCATACTTAATATATGATATTTAAAACATCCCAGAGAGGTAAAATACACATACAGTACACTCATTATTTACCTTAAAATATGTGTAGACTTAATATAGGAAGAGAGGTGAGTAGTATTTATTTGTAGGAAGTCAGTGTAGGTAGCCGGTAGGTGTAGCCCGCCTGGGCTACACCTACCGGCTACCTACACTGTGGGCCAGAGCCATATTATTAACATCGATGTACCTTGTTCACTGAATTTAATCATTTCTAACAACTACCTTTAGATGCCATCATAAATGAAGGTAGAAGTAATGAATAATTCATGCCGAAAATTGTAAACAAAAGTGGAGTGTGGGAGTGGCTGGGCCAAATGCAGATTCATACACGTTTTCTCTGATGGCTGAGCAGAGAAAATGTAATGTTGTCCCTCCACCTGGCTACCACAGCTCCACAAGTACTGTTATCAGAGCACACAAAATATGCAATAAATGCCAGACAACAAGTTTACACTAACTTATATTAAGTTAGCAATAGAAATAGGCATTAAAAACACAATAAAAGGTAAGATACACACAGAGTACACTTATTACTTACCTTAAAATATTAATATTAATGTGTGAGAGGTGAGTGGCAGGGTGTTTATTGAATAAAATCAGAATGGCACACCATCCTCTAACTTGGCACTTAAAGCAAGAGGCTTATGACTTCTCTTTTTATCACAGCTAACCTTAGACGCCATTCTCAATGAGAGCCAACTAGTTAACAAAAGAGTAAACGAGAGAGAGAACGAGATACAGAGTTGAGACAATGTAAGAACACAAACTGAACAGGTAGTGGGCGATCACTTGGTCAGAGGAAATAAATGCGTATTAATGTGTCTACTTTTAGTTCATTCACGTCCGTTTGTAAGAGTTTGTAAAACATTTACCTCAATATTTTTTTATTATAATAATAATTACCTCACAATACAAATACTCTTACATTGTGTACAAGTTAGTTCAGAATAAACAAACAGCAACACGCCATTTTTAGAGTGAATGAAGATGATGATGATAATAATAATACAGTGGAACCTCAAAAATCGAACGTATCACATATCGAACGTTTCGAAAATAGGACCATTTTTTCGGACAAACTGTGTCCCCTACTATCGAATGCGCCCCTATTTTCGGACCGCCGCGTATGGGACCTGTCTGCCGCCCGCTCTGTCCGCGTCCCCACACAGGCGCCGTGAGCAGTCTAGCTTTGTTTATGCTTGAGTGAACACTAACCAGTGCTCTCATTCACGCATTTTACGATTATTTCATTGTGTTTAGTGCTTGTGGGACTGTGAAATAAGCTGCCATGGGCCCAAAGAAACTTGCTAGTGGTACCCCTGTGGTAAAGAAAGTGAGAAACACCATAGATGTGAAGAAGGAAATAATACAGAAGTATGAGAGTGGTGTGAGACTTGTTGAGCTTGCCAGGATGTATGGGAAAAACAAGTCGACCATCGGTTCTATCCTGTCAAAGAAAGAACAAATCAAGGAAGCTGATGTTGCGAAAGGTGTTAAAATAGGGAGTGGATGAGGTGCCTTCTTCAAAGATTTAAGAGATTTGTGCCAAGTGGAATGATGTCCAAATGTTTGTGCAAAAGTACCACCCTGAGCAAGCTGAAACAAGCAGAACCATGTCCCATTTTAGGGAAATGTTAAATAGGTGCCAGAAACAGAGGACTGTGGACAGTTATTTTGTGAGACAGGGGTCCAGTGACTCTCAAGCTGGTCCTAGTGGCATTAAAAGACAGAGAAGAGAAGTAACCACAGAGAGGGCTTTACCTGAAGTCCTCATGGAGGGGGATTCTCCTTCCAAACACTAACCCTAACTCCCTCTCTCCTCCTCCCTATCTTCCAGATGCCATCACCAATCTTCAATAAAGGTAAGTAAAAGTGTCCTTGGCCCTCTTCTCTTTCTCCTATACATAAATGACCTACCAAATGCTTCGCAATTACTCAAATCCACACTTTTTGCAGATGACACTACATACGTCTTCTCTCACCCGAGCCCAGTCATGCTAGCCAATACTGTAAACACCGAATTACAGAAAATATCTACCTGGATGAGGACTAACAAACTTACACTAAACATTGACAAAACCTACTTCATTCAGTTTGGTAACAGAGCTACAGATGTACCTCTTAACATAACAATAAACGGATCACCTATCACAAAGCTAACAGAGGGAAAATTCTTAGGAATCCACCTCGATAATAGACTCAAATTTCATACACATATACAACAAATTTCTAAGAAAATTTCCAAGACTGTAGGCATACTATCGAAGATACGGTACTATGTTCCACAGTCAGCCCTCCTGGCCCTTTATCACTCTCTTATTTACCCCTATCTCACCTATGGAATTTGTGCATGGGGCTCAACGACAATTAACCATCTCAGACCACTAATTACCCAACAAAAGGCTGCAGTTAGAATGATGATAAATTCTCACTACAGGCAACACATTCCACCAATATTCAAAACACTCAACCTACTCACCATACAAAACATCCATACTTATTATTGCACCTATTACATACATAGAACACTTAACTCTGATATTAACCCTCCCCTCAAACATCTCCTTGCCAACCTCAACAGAACACATGACCATAACACAAGGCACAGATCACTCTTTGATGTTCCTCGTGTCCATCTCACGCTATGCAAAAACTCAGTGCACATAAAAGGCCCTAAAATCTGGAATTCATTACCTGTAAATCTAAAAGAAACACTACCTGTTTATAAATTCAAGTCTCTTCTCAAAGATCACTTACTCACTCAAAACCAAATAAATACTGAATAACTGAACCTTATAAATTGTATATCCTATATGTTACTCACAATTATATCACACAAATGTTAAACCTAGGACCCAATCTAACTTTATTATTTTTTTAAATACACTACCTAACAGAATACTCCATTCGACTGAATGTACAGCAATGCAAGCAACCATATGACCTGTCTTTGTAATACTCATTTGTGCTTTATAGTTATCTGTTTACAATAATGTTTTATCACTGATTTCATCATTGCTTAGTTAATCTTAAGTTAATTTTAAGCCAGCCCGTAATGCTATGCATATAAGTGGCTTTGGCATGCTGCTCTTACCTGTATTTTTTGTACCTCTGTATGTATGCTTAAATTACTAAATAAATAATAAATACATAATTAAAAACTATAGTATTTGTTGTATGTAAAACTGTAATTAATCTCTCTAAAATGTATTTTTTGTGTGAATATTTTTGGGTTTCTGGAATGGATTAATTGTATTAACATTATTTCTTATGGGAAATATTGCTTCGAATTTCAGACTTTTGAATTTAGAACTAGCTCCTGGAATGGATTAAGTTTGATTTTTGAGGTTCCACTGGAATAATAATAATAACAATAATAATAATAACAATAATAATAATAATAATAATATTATTATAATAAAAAGCACTAAACCCACAAGGGTCGTGAATTGCTATATATAGAGTAAAGGCATACAAAAAGAATATTTTTCTGCAGTTATCCCCCAGTTTGACTAGAGAAAACGTAATTCTTCTGACACTACCTACACAGCTGCTTTGTAAGCAAATCTTATACACCTACCATCCGACTTACGACCGAGTTCAGTTCCGAGAAACCGGTCGTAAGTCGAAATGGTCGTAAGTCGAACTTTACCACTGAACATCAACAAAACATTTTTGTAATGACTTTATTTTGTTTTATTTTGCTATTTCATGTTTTACTTTACTTTTTATGCTGTTAGTACTGTATTTTATACTGTAAGGTTTAGGATAAACACTGTGTACAACACAAATAGTTGTTTATTTCCCAGAAATTTGGCATAAAAAACAAGGTCGTAAGTCAAGTGGTCGTAAGTCGAGCAGGTCGTAAGTCGGATGGTAGGTGTATTTACATCAATTTTTATTTTGTGAGTGTATGTATCATGTTTATATGCTATGTAATGGGGTTCATATATAATTTTGAGGAAAATATCATAGATGGATTAATGAAAATGCCTATATTGATGTAAAATAAGACATTTAGTGTGCCCAAGAGTGATTATTATTACGTAGTATTGGCATCATGAGTAGAGAGAGACTTAGCGATTTTAATGTGTACCTGCACACCAGCACTGTGTGTAAGTATATTTAGGTACAGGTATACATAAGTATTATAATTATCAGAATACATATAAAATATGCAGTAACTTTAAAACACTTGAAATTTTGGAAAGTTTCCTGACATAATAGATGTGGTCACAGAAAATGTAAACAAACCGGGTGGGGGGGGGGTCGCTGTATTTGAAAGACCGCTTGCCGTATAGCAAATT